CTCCAGCCGCGCGGGGTTAATGAGGTCCAGTCTCGAACATAGCCTACCAAGAGTTCTGCCGGGAAGTTTCTTGACGTGTTGTTGGGTGTTCGCCGGTATGATAACGGCCAGCGGTTCAGCTTTGTTTGTAGGTCTTTGCCAGAAATCTTTTTCGGTGCCGACTTTACTTCACCGTTCGCACCACCCGTTCGGCAAGTCGATTCGACTGTGTGAGATAAAGTGCAGTTCGGACGTGTGGCACACCGTTCTGGAACAGTTCTGGGATAGGGACACGAAATGATGTGAGCGCGAGCTCTCCATCCCTCGCTTCAAAGTCGGCCAGCAAGAAGCGCAATGCGTATCGCGCTCGTGATGTCAATAGTTCCTGCACTGCCAAGGGCACTGTAGTTGCGAGCCTTGCAGCTTGGTGGCGTCAACGCGTGACAATCTCGCCTAGTATTAACATCCGATGGCTGTACGCCCTATGGCCTATACATAGCTTCCCCGTAACATCATGTGCGGTCATGCCGGTATTTTATGTGCCACGAGAGATCGCTTCACCCTGTTAGTTTCACACCGCAGAAGTAATGGCTGGAGGGAACCAATAAGTAGAAATAACCGTCAGTACCCAGCAATGGCGTATGGTTGGCCTGACAGAGGTCCCCGTATCCTCAGATCAAGGTCCTTCCTAACGTCTGCAAAAAACGGCGATCTCGATGGTGTGGAATGCACGTTGCAGAAGCACTGTGGAGCTGAAAATGCCGCCGATGCCACAAGGGCAAGAACACAAGGTCGCTGCTTTGAAGCCTTCCTCCGGAGAACGATCGAGCGCTCGCGCTAGAAATGCCTGTCTCCAAGCCAGGAGCGCGGGCTAGCTCGCGCTTGTAGCTGTGGCTGCAGTCTCAGCTTATGAGCGTTCTCCGCCAATTCACATTCAGGACTACGTAACTCCACGAGAGAGTCCTACTGTCACGAACTGACGCTGATTCTTGGGAACTCATGACGTGAAGGCATTCCAACGGAGCTTCACAGAACGCCACCAGAGGTAATATTGAAATATGTTTGTTTTAAAATTAGTTTTCTTGGACGTCTCTGCCTGCAACTCAGAAGCACTAGTCAAGTTTAGTGTCTTTGTGCTCCCGGCAGAAGATAGACCACACCTAAACGAAGAAAGAAAACTGCAAACATTTCGTTTCCGTACCCCTCTAAAGGGTTGTCCGGTGAAGGGAGTCACGTTGTCCGAAGCGGTACAGTATGGTAATCCAAAACGAGTAAATAATTCTCGCATTACTTCTACGGTCTTTTCTCAAGTATAATGTTTTTCACCGGAACAGCCTCAATCCACTTAGAATCTGCTACAATTAGCAGCACATGTCCGTCGACTGGCCCCGCATAGTCGATTTGAATTCTTGACCACGGAATGGTCTCTTCTGGCCACGACAATGGCTGCCTTGAGGGCGGCATAGGTTAAGCTTGCTGGCAGTGATGACAGTCGTGGGCCATGTTCTCGATGTCACTATCCGTGTTTGGCCACCAACAAAGCGATCTGGCAAGGGACTTGATCGTAGCCATCCCAGAGTGGGCGTCGTGTAGCTCCAGCAGCACTGCTCGCCTTGCCTTCCGGGGAATTACCACCACACGTCCTCCCTCCACCGACATTTCCGCTCTACAGGTCCAGAAGGGTTCGAGAGTCGTAGCTTCTGGCTGAGTTGGCCATCTTTCCAATATAGTCGTTCAAAGTTAATTCAGATCCGTGTCCGCAGCTGTCAAATCCGCGAGTTGTTTCACCGAAAGTGGTCCTCTTTCCAGTTTCTCCATGGAGGCCACTTGCCCTCTTAGCATGTCGACGGTACCGCTGCACTTCCCAGCCCTGTGGCGTATGTTGTATATGTATCCACACAATGTCAGAGCCCACGTCTGGATCCTGCTAGCCGCTTTCGCTGAGATAGCTTTGCCTTCCCCGAAGAATCCAACGAGAGGCTCTTTACCCGTCACCAGTGTCAATTGTCTCCCCAGGAGGTAATCTCTTAATTTGGTGACACCAAAGTTTAAGGCAATAGCTTCCTTTTCGAGATGCGAGTAGTTGTTTTAGCGGGCGATCAGGTCCTGGAGCGGAACGCAATCATCCCTGGGACACCGTCGATCCGATGAGAAAGCACGGCTGCCACGTCATACGGCGAGGCATTGCACTCCAGCTGTACTTCTTTCGATGGGTTGAAGTGAGCCAAAAATCCGCTGTTCTGGATTGCGTTCTTTGCTTCTGTTTCTTGGGCCGCGTCCCACTGCCACTTCGCATTCCGTTCGAGTAGGTCCTACAAGTGGTTGAGTGCGGTAGACATACGGGGAATTAAGCTCCTAAAATACGTGAAGAATCCAAGAAATTAGCTTAGCTCTTGCACATTTTTTGGTGTGGGCGTTTGATTCCTCGATGGCCTTTAGCTTCCGCTCTTCAGGATTGAGCCCATCACGTTCAACTCGGTGTCCGAGATAGCTAGGTTGCCTCTTGCCTTTGGAATCCGCACTTGTCTTCTTAAGGTGATACTGAACCAAGGAATTTAGTGTCAATAATAAGTGGCGCACGTTCTTTCCACGAGCCAGCAGCCGCCGGTGTGCGCGAGCACACGCAACGAAAAGGACATCAACAACCCGGGAAACTCCGTCCCCGGCTCCGCCGCGTGCACCTGCGGAACTCTCATGCTAAGAGCACGAAGCCTCCGTGCCTCCGCCACGGAGGAGAACGGCGCCACGAGGCGTCAAAAAGGGATGACGTGTGTCTCACGTGATGCGCGCACCGCGGAGGAAAGGGGCGGATTTCTCCTTCGTGTGGATACCCCGTAAAGGGGTATCCACACGAAGGAGAACTCCGCGGACGGATGTCGTGACGTCAACATCCCGGGAAACTCCGTCCCCGGCTCCGCCGCGTGCACTTGCGGAGCTTTCGTGCTTTCAGCACAAAGACTCCGCGCCTCCGCCACGGAGGAGAACGGCGCCACGAGGCGTCAAAAAGGGATGACGTGTGTCTCACGTGATGCGCGCACCGCGGAGGAAAGGGGCGGATTTCTCCTTCGTGTGGATACCCCGTAAAGGGGTATCCACCCGAAGGAGAACTCCGCGGACGGATGTCGTGACGTCAACATCCCGGGAAACTCCGTCCCCGGCTCCGCCGCGTGCACTTGCGGAGCTTTCGTGCTTTCAGCACAAAGCCTCCGCGCCTCCGCCACGGAGGAGAACGGCGCCACGAGGCGTCAAAAAGGGATGACGTGTGTCTCACGTGATGCGCGCACCGCGGAGGAAAGGGGCGGATTTCTCCTTCGTGTGGATCCCCCTTAAAGGGGTATCCACCCGAAGGAGAACTCCGCGGACGGATGTCGTGACGTCAACATCCCAGGAAACTCCGTCCCAGGGTCCGCCGCGTGCACTTGCGGAGCTTTCATGCTGTCGGCACAAAGCCTCCGCCCCTCCGCCACGGAGGAGAACGCGCCGCGAGGCGTCGAAAAGGGATGACGTATGTCTCACGTGATGCGCGATCCGCGGAGGAAAGTGGCGGATTTCTCCTTCGTGTGGAAGGGGTATCCACACGAAGGAGAAATCCGCCACTTTCCTCCGCGGATCGCGCATCACGTGAGACATACGTCATCCCTTTTCGACGCCTCGCGGCGCGTTCTCCTCCGTGACGGAGGGGCGGAGGCTTTGTGCCGACAGCACGAAAGCTCCGCAAGTGCACGCGGCGGAGCCGGGGACGGAGTTTCCCGGGATGCTGACGTCACGACATCCGTCCGCGGAGTTCTCCTTCGTGTGGATACGGGCCGAGGCGATCTGGCACCTGGAGAGGTCCCTGGTTCGATACCAGGACCAGGCAGATTTTTTTTTATTTTCGGTCGCGCACCAGTTACCCAGCTGTGTGTGGAAATTTGTGTTTGTCCTTTGTCCCCCTTGTTCCCCTTCTCCAGGGATTTTTTTCATCACTCTAGCCACGCTTATCAAATAGTACCCCGACGTTTCAGGACCGTCCCATTTGTTTATCAGGGACGTCTGCCCTCTACATCCTTGTGTGCAAATCCCCACCGGCCCTCACTCGTGAGCAAGGGACGGTCCCGATACGTTAAAGAACTATTTAATGAACTTGCTAAGAGTTCGCAATCTTTGTCTGATCTAACCTGGCAGGGAGCTGCCGAACTTTTACCTTCAAATGAAGAGAGGAGTTTGTATACACTAAGCATCAAGTGCCTAGAAAGAATGATGCAGCTCTAAAGATAAAACTGGCTTGTCATAAGTTCATAGGCGTATGCAACGTAAGGAATATCAATGTATTCGGTGTAAGATAATTTAAGGGTTGACGCATCAAAGCCTTTTCAGACAAGTCGTTAATTCCACGCGTTTAAAATCACTTAACCAGATGGGAAATTTTCATGAACTCCCCGTTCTTTCTTCAATGTTCATATTGCGCAAGGCGCAGCAAGCTCTTTGTACATGACTCTCGTAGATTGCCGACATTTGATTGCGAAGAGCGGTGCCCAAATTGTATTTGGGGCTCTATTTGAAATACTCAATATGAAGTATTTATGATGCAGTTGACAAATACATTCCCCAAGATTGTAACTAAAAACGAAATGGAAAATACTCAAAGTATTTTTAGATACGTATTTGAAATATTGCCCATCCCTTCCTGACCCGATATGTAAAGCTCAGGGAGGCGTATTTTCGAAGCGACCGCCAATGGCTTCCGCTCTGCGCACCTAAATGACGGCATCCGCAAGAGCGGAATGAAGCGCCGGTATCTGTAGTTTTCTATTTGTATTTCTATGTCATTCGGACGGGCGGCAGAGACAAAAGGTGAACAAAACCACCGGACAAAGGTGTTTTTGCCTTTGACTGCGACCGACTGTGTTACAACCGGGTGTTAAGGCGGCCCGCTTACGACCGGTTTCGCTGCTGCGGTCGTAAGTAGTCCCAGGCCGAGTACAAACCGAGTCGGCCACAGCCAGAGGCGCTTTTGGACGACCCGGGTTTCTCGCTCGCAGAGAGCCTGCTGTGCGGGGCGTCGCTGGCCACGCTGCTCGAGCAGGATGCCCACCGGCACGTGCGCGCCGATCACCACCAGGTGCCGCTGGTTCTCAGGGAGGTGAGTGCACGCGCCCGCCATCGGGCTCAGATCCCATCTCACGGAGCGAGCTGAGATGGCCTGCCAATGGGAACGGAGACTGGTCTGCTATCCAGCGCTATTCGCAGACGGACAGAAAACGAGAAAACGCCGTCGTTCCCTAAGACACCGGAAAGTAAGTGTGTCGTCCGCTACGAAGAGTGTGCCGCGGCCAGGTGAGATCGGTTACGGGCTGAAATCGTCCGCTCTTTTACGTTAGAAGACACTGTCAACCTGCACTCCTATTTCAACTCTCAAGTCGGTCCGCTGCCGTACACAATCTGACATGGATCGGTGGATGGGAGCGCTGAAGCCTAAAAGGCACCAGCGACGTTCTCATCAAAAGAATGTCTGACTCGCGAACGGACCCAACATTTCTGATTAGTCGACTACGCGCCGCCAGCGAAAAGCTGTGACATCACGCCCAATCAGCGATTGAGAATTTTCGCTCACCTTGACCGAAATCGAACCCTAGTTGGTTTCATCCCCTGCCCGTTTCGTTTGGATGAGCGTCGTATACCGGCGTGCGGTCGTGTATCACAACTGCGTGGTGCGCGTTAAATTCCCCAGGCTAGCTAATGCACTACTAAATTTCTCAGCCGAGAGACGCCCATTGGGGCTGACTAACTTCCGGCTGTCTAAACATACATGCGACGTAGCGGACTCCAGGCACGGAACATAGCTCGAAAGTGTGACACTGGAGCGGATATCGAGGTTTGGGCTGACGGTAGATTCACGGCATCCGTCCAGAGCTGCAGAACTACGCGTCTTTTGGCTTTCTTCTTGGAGTCAGACGCCATTTAAACCAATTCAGGAACACTGCAGGACAAGGTACTGTATAGTCCAAGCTACGGGGACTGGTCCCGCATCATGAGCGCCGATCAAAGCTTTTATTGCGCACACTCGTCTATTTCGTGTCGTAGCCCATACCCGTCAGAGCCCCTGTTAGGGGTGAACAATAGTAGTAAATAAACAAATTCGGCAGAGAAGACTGCTAAGGTGTAGGATTGCGAAAGCATTCTTCCCGCGACGCTCCGGCGGTGACATCAAGGCCTGTTCACACATACAGCGGAGCGCTACAAGCATAGCGCTAACCTCGCGCTTAGCGCGTGCTGACGGCAGCGTTCACCAGCTTTGTATTGCACCGTCAAAACTTTTGCTCATAGCAGACGGTAAGTAGCTGACGACACGAGTGGAGCGCTACATCAGCGCTTCGCTGCATGTGAGAACCGGCCTTCAGGCTCCCCGTTGCTGTGCTTTTCTTTGTGTTTTATTTCTGAGGCTCGTGCTTGATGAGGTATTGCTGTGACCATGTTTTGAGCACAACGCCGCCGCTTTTTCGCCTAATGGGACAAGTGAAGCCTTAATCAATGAAAGTCATTTCCGTGTTTGGCAACCATTCGCGACACGCCGGCGCAACAAGGTGTCTTCCGCGCGGTTCTTCCTTTTCGGGTTTTGTATTTTCGTTTTCAAATCGAGGTTCGGGCGAATAGCGGTTTTTTTCCTCCTTCGCCAATATCCGAATGCGAAAGGGTTTTCACACGCAGTAAACAAGAAGGTGTACACAGTACGACGCATTTACGAGTCTGACACGGTGCCGCCGAGTCCTTTCACGTGCCTGTTTATCCTCGATCAACGAGTTTAGCCAGCCGGAGGTTTCTAGTTTTGGACTTATCGTGACGTAGCAAATGAAAATATTATTTAACGGGGAGAGACCTCGCATTCGATCTTCTTCGCAAAGCGACTACTACTGCTACAAGCCGTGTTTTTCGTACACGTTAAAAGGAAGCAAGGTGTGGCTGTTGTACCTTGAGTCTCCGTGAACGTGAAATGAGAAGAGAACCAATCTCCACCGTCTTTCTTCCGAACGAAACATTGCGTCACCGATTGGCCTGAAGCCAGATTCACGCAACGCCCTTACGACGAATTAGAAGCGCGCCTGACTGTTTCCGGTGGGGCGCCCTGCATGATGCGGAGGAGAGGCAGCTTCCGGTCGACGCTTCCACCAGCCACGCACTGCCAACATGGACAGGTGACCGGCACGTCTGGACTTTGATAGGACAGAGTTTGAGGAGATCGTTCCGATGACTCCGATAACGATACTCTCCGCCTTTGCGCATGCATCGTCTATCGGAACGATCGACTAGAACATGATGAGGCGCGCTTCGTGCGCGCACTTTTTGAATTGCCGACAAACATTAAAAAAAGTATCGCTAAATATCTCGAACACTATTGCACTTTTATAAACCGGTCTAACCATTATACGTAGTTGGCTTTAAAACTGCAGTGGGAGCATCGCTCATAAAGGCAATACTTAAAAAATCCATTAAGCATTGTGCGTGAATCGGCCGACGGATCCTGATATAGATTGTTCCGTCTAACGCCCGCCGAGCCCGTTAAGGCGGTGAAAACAGCACTCGTGTAAGACTCAACCACCTTTAAGAAAAAAAAATGTTACGTGTAGAAATAAGCACCCTACATATAAACGCCGCTTTGATTGCCTTCGAAACATGTGATACCAATTTTTTTTTTGTTACGTGTTTTTTTTACTCCGGCATGACGGTACTAGAAACTTAAATATGTGTCCAGCTAGAGCACCTTTTGGCAGTACGCGATGTCGATCCAAACTTCTTCTGCCGTACGTGACGTCAGCGTCAAGCTGCGATCGTCTAGTGGCTCGAGAGTTCATACGATCGGTCGCGAAAGATCGGCCCCGAAGCGGGTACCACGCAGCCCAGCAGCGAGGTTCCAGCGCTTCGACCGAACGCTTCGCTCCCAGTCTGAACGTACGTGGTTCTTGCTGACACGCTTGCATCTGGGGCTTGGGCTCCCTCCCGCATCCCCGAGACCGCCAACAACGCCGCGGCAATTTGTCTCCACGCGTGCCGCCTCAAACGAGCCATGCGGTCCGCCTCCTTCTAGCGACGATGAACGTTGACTCGGTATCGATAGCGCTTGTAGCAGTCGATCGAGGCGCTTCTCCTGGCCTCAGCAAAGCTGGTCATTCGGGCCCGTTTAAATTCAGCACGTTATTTCATTTAGTGACCTCAAATCGCTCGAAGGCATTACAGGAGGGGGCAGGAGACAAGGTGACTGTATATTCTAATAGGAAATACACGCGAATGAGAGAAAGACAGAACATGAGCACGTTATTTCATTTCACCGTATCGACACTGTACGGACAGACTAAAGAAGCGTTGCCGGCCGCCCGCCTACGTTTGTTGAGAAGGTGCTCCGAAGCCTGCCAAGCTCTCCGCTGTTCGTGTTGCCACGCTGTCACCATTGCAAGAGCCCGCGGGGGAGCCTGCGGGACACCGGGAGTTGTCGTTTTACCCTACGAGTGCTCTTCCTCTCTCACTTGAGAAAGCGTTCGTGGATAGCCTCCACTTCTTGCTATGTGCGTAACTTGGGAAATTCCTAGCCAGCTTGTCGTAGTTTGAGCCACCCAATGAGCCACGCTTAGAGTATCGGCACTTGGTTCCCCACCCTGCTAGTGGGCGCCGCCATCTTGGTGCTTAGTGCAGAGCAGGCGCAACTGTCGATCGTCACAATTAAAAAATGCGCCTTCCTCAGCTCTAGAGACGGTGTTAGGAAGCTCAGTTGATATTGTTTTGCTCTGTCGCGAATCGTTTTCACATTTTCGAAGTACGGAAAAGCGCTTGCTGCGATTCCAGATAAAGCTTCAGATAGCCGGCAACCATGATCCTAAGCACCAAGATGGCGCAAGTGCGGTTACTCTGAAGTGCAGCTAATGTTGTGGCTCTAGTCGTAGACTAAGAAGCTCTTTGTGAATCGAACCTGCAGACTTGGCTAATAAATCGGTCAGCGAGAAACTTGTTCATTGTTTATACTCTCGTTTTACGGCCGACCATCTGGTAAATGTCGATTAGCTTCTGAGAAGGACCTCGCTAAGCGTCCAACTCGATTGTTCCTATCAAAGGGCATACTTGGGCTATTCGTGATTTCATTGTATAGAGGATAAACGCGGTCAGAAGACGGCGGGTCCATTAAACGCCACAGAGCGCTCTGTGGTCTTCGTCGTCCTTTTAACTTGTCCGTCGTCTTTTTAGCCTTTTGATCTGTGGTCTGTGGAACGGCATCTGTGCCATACCAATGGCGGCCTTCTAGTGACTGATAAACGAAGACGTTGAAAATGCTCCTAAGCGGATCTTGCGAGGCCTGTACCTTCGGGGGGTCGGTACGACGCGACGTAGGAATGGAACGCAAGAGCTACGTAAGCGTTTCTATCTAATAACTCAGATTCAGTCAATCTGTGGGCGGCACACAATCGGCTTTAAAGCACTTTGGTGTATAGAATTTTCTCGAGGCATCCGATTGGGTTGGAGATTTGTTCTGAATGCAGGTTCTTGGTCACCATCGAACTGAATGCGATCGAGAAAGAACTCACACTGAACAGTTCTTCGCGTGCCGTTGACTCGCTAAAGTGGCGGTACCGGCACAAGTTCATTTCCGCCATCGATATGGCAAAACCTAAACTGCTTTACGAACCACCAGATGGCACTGAATTTCTGAAAGGGCCTATACGGGACAACAGGGGGTCGCTTGTTCCCGGCCAGAGCCATCAGTGCTGGGAGAGTTCTTTTGAAAAGGCCGACAGTCTGGCAACCAAAACCCCGCCATATCGTAGCTCGCGACCCACTCTGGATTCTCCGTGTCTGCAGTGACGTGTCATTGCACCGTCAACGCTCTTTCCACCGAATCAGTTTTGACAAATTATCCAAACACCAAGGAGAATGCTGGGAAAGTAAGTACAGGCGCTGCTCGCGCTCGCCTTCCCCGCATCGAAGATTCCAAGGAAATGACCGAAATAAACCGCTGGTGATCAGGCGTGCGATTTGTTCGAGGTTTTCGCTTTCGAACAGTTGGCAGCACGCGCAGCGCGTGGAACCAACCCCACTCGCGCACGCTCCTCGGTAACAAAGGCTCTGTTGCTCACACTTCCCTATCTGCAAACATCTCCGCAAATATTGCCGTCTTATACGTTCCCGTTTTTTGTCTAGAAAATTACTTTTCGATATTCCCACCGCCGCCACTACACCGCGGAAAGCGCTTGCTATGCAGAAACTGCTAACACGTGCTTTACAATGCCCGACCCCTCTTCATTGAGAAACCATGTTTTGGGGGGAAACAAGCGGGAGGAAGCTTATTTGTAAATATTGCGATTGGGTATTGATAAAAAGTTGGCGGTGTTTGAACGTATCGAACAATTACAGGCGTAACAGAATGCCTATGAACGAGAAATGTTTCCCTAACGCTACTTGAGACCGCGACTTTAAGTGGCTCGCTTAGAGTGGAGTTGCGGAACGAAAACGAATCTCCATATTGGTTTATCGCGAGGTCGGCTTATTCTAGCTGTCACCAGCTCTCTCGGTATACACGGCTCTGTTCCTGGCGAGTTACCAGCTCGATGGTGCGAATGGCTCGCGCCAGCAAATCATAAAAAGAAAACATACGCGGTGATTTTAGGCTACCTGCTCGACGCACAATGTGACCCATTGGAGAGCGCGGTAAAATGTTAGTTTTGGCATAACCTTCGTTTTTGTTCTATTTTGAGAGGTAGTGACTAGCACGCAGGGAAGAGTCAAGCAACTCGAATACGCGCTTACTTTGGCTAGCTCGGAAAACCCCTTTGATAGTCGTCCAAGCAAACTCGGGAGGCCTACCCAAACGGAGACATGGGAAATCACTCGAAAACGCCAACAATGCTCGTAAACACCCCAAGTTGTCCATAGGAGTTACGCGTGGAGCTAAAAGCAAACATCGTGTATTGCGTCTCCGGGGCTTGTCCGGAGCGTCGGAGGATGTGGTCCCTTTGCAGATTCTGGACTTCCTGCGGCGGCACGGGCTCCGGGAAGAAGGCATCCTGCGGGTGTCCGGATCCGCCGTCAAGATGGACGTGAGTCTCTTTTTCTCACCCCAGCCAAGTTTCGCGCCGCTTCCCCGACCCGCAACGGGGCTCGACGCCACGCACATACCATCGTCTTCCAACGTCAGTGATGACGGTGCGGCTTGCGCGTTGCGTCAATGGCCGAAATCTCCACTAGATTGCGTGGCGGTCGGCGTAGCCGGTGGCTGCATCGCGCGCTCTCTCCAACGAGCTTGAGACGGCGGGAGAGGGGATCTCGTTTGTTTCGCAACAGTCGAATGTGCCGGTGCTGCGAGGGCCGAGGCGTTTCTATTTCAGCACCTTCCAGGGCGAGGCACCGTTCTGAGTTGGTCAAATTGCGTCCTATCGGACACGGACGATAAAGTGAGCGTATTTTTAGCGCAACTCGGTCAGCGCGCTATTTGCTTGGCGCTCTGTGTCGAGGCCTTGTGCGAGCCACTCGACGAAGAGGACGGCGTCTTGGAGGCGCTTCGAGCGGGGCGGCCGCGCGGTCCGTCTCGATCGCTGTCGGCTGCGTCCTCCGCGGCATCCGATTGGGGGGACAGCTCGCCCTTCATTCGCCGCGCTGCCCGCCTAGATAAATGGAGCGTCTCACGGACAGTTTGGCCGAGTCTCTCGGTTCTTAAGGTCGATTAGCGCGATGCACCTTGTCGGCGAGTCTCGTGTCGCGAAACTGGCTTTCGGGAAAAAGATGATAACGCGACCGAAAGAGTGACGCGCCTCCGAAAAAGGTTGCGCTCGCTCTTCGCTTCTGGAGCGAAATGTCACTGAGAGCTCACCGAGGCCTGTCGGTCACCCGAAGGAGAACGCAGCCAACGGCCGCTCGACTTCGCTGTGACGTCGGACCTTCGAGGCGGAGAGGTTTCCGAGGAGGCTGAGGTTTGGGCCGATTCCGTATCTGAACCAAAATGGCCAAATCCGAAAAGAAGAAGCAAACATGGCGGCGAGGCGGAGAAGCCGTGCGTACGGGCGGTAGGCGGGTTGGTGCAGTTGGTGGCGCGGTGCAGATTCCTTCAGTCGCGACGAGTGCAAACACTGCATATAAACCTGATCACTGGGTTGAACAGATCTTTTAGCGGTGCGAGAATGCCCGAAATACTTGCAGATCATCCGCCTGTTCTTTGACGTTCGCGGTCTTTTCCCGGTTTGGCAGGCCTTGTAGACCGAGTGGGCCGAATCCGACCAAGTTTATCGAGTGGTATTAATTAATTCAGTCATTCATCATTCATTCACCGTACCCTTAAAGGTCCCATCAGGGACGTTATATAAGGGGGGGGGGGGATGCGTGGTAAATGCAAAAGATCAACGCATGAAGAAGCAGGTGGCTCACAGCTACAGTGCTGGTAAGTAATAGAAACTATGTTAAAACAATTGTGTGCGAAATAAAACTGGAACATAACTACACTAGCAAAAGAGAGCGATCGAAGCATTGCAGAACAAGACGGGGTCCCCTATGGCTACGATGTCAGATGGCAGGTCATTCCAGTCTGTGATGGTCTGCGGGAAAAAAAAGGTCGGTTGAAGTAGTTGGTGCGGCCGGTGATCCGAGATACCTGACATGAGTGGTTTAGTCGTGACGATGCTCTTTTAGTAGGCAGTAGGAGTGAGTTACGAAGTATTGGATTATAAGAGAAAATTTTATGAAATAGGGTTAAGCACAGTATCTTACGGCACGACTTCAAAGTTGGAATGTCCAGCTGGCGTTTCAGCGCAGAGACACTAGTTGTTCGGTCATCATCATTAAGAATCAATCTGGCCGCGCCATTTTGGACTGACTCAAGATGATTGATGAGATAAATTTGACGGGGGCTCCAAATTGCTGCTGCATGCCTCAATTTTGGTGGAACGCAAGTCTCGTATGCCATTTTCCGGAGATGAGAAGGTTCCTTCCTGCTTCAGATTTCCTTCGACGTACCTGAGAGTGCGTCGACTGCCACGCTGTGCGTACTTGATATCATTTGGACGCGAAACGCTCGATATTTCCGGCGCAGATGAGAAGGTGTGGCGAACTTCCCGTCAGTCAATAGATCCCAGGTTTGGCGCATCAAACTCTAGGAGTGAACAGGCCGATTTCGCGCGCGTTCGCGAAATCGTCGCGCGTTGAAACGATGCATCGTGTGAATCAACCTTTGAGCCGGGGTCCCCCTGCTCGTACATCGTACAAAATACAGTCTGCAAACAGGAGTCACCGCAATATCCGTGGTTTGAATGCCGCGTGCCAAGTTTTCACCTTGGCATTCGGGGCACGGATCTCGCCCTGACTGGATCTGTATGCAGACTGTCTTCTGTATGAAGCAGTGTGAGCCCGGCCTTGGACGCGCGGCGCCCTCGATACATCCATAAAATGCGCACAAACCGGATTTTTCTAAAGCCTTTGTATGGAAACCTCCACGGGCCTCTTTTGTTCGTGTTGGTCCGACCGCGTGACGTCACGATGTCACGTGACAGCATAGTGTTGCCCAACGTTATGGTGTGGTCACACGACCTATTTGCGTGACGTCATGGTCCCCTGGGCTACGTGACGTGTCAGGGGATGCGACGTCGGACCCCCTCTATTGAGCGCCGGAACCCGACAGAAACTGCTGCTTGCTACAAACCCGATCAAGTGCGCTGACGCAATGTCTCGAGGGCCTTTTTGCTCGAAGCGCTAACCGCGCCTAAAGTTAGCCCAAGTACCTTGGAGAGGGATTTTAAAATCACGTGACGGGCTCGGTAGGGATGCGGGGAAACATGGCGGTGCCCCGCTGAGTGAGCGCCGCTCGCTTTGGAACGAATATGTCGTTGTAGCTGCAATATCGGGCGCGTTGGTCAGCAATGAATGGTGCAGGAGGCTTTCGCTTTGCCTTACCTCACTTAAATCGCAAAGCATGGGTAATGACATCGCCGCATTTTTTTTTATAGTCTTTTGATTCTGGCCATTCCTAAGCCTAAATGAACGCGATAATTGTCGGCATGGCAATGTCTTTGGAAAGTGGATTGCCTTGACTCAATCGGCCGCGTATTCATAGCACACAAAAGCAGACAGCGTCCCAACAGATCTTTTTCTAAATTTCCCAAGCACCGAGGTGCGTGCTACGAGTGTAGTTACACGCGTTGCATGTGCTGGCGTCTGCAGTAGTAATTGTTCTAAACTTAAAGCAAAAAGTCTAAAACAAATTTTGCCTTGCACGCGCATTCGTCGAAGCCTTTTTATGGTTATTACCTTCGAATCTGTCGTAAGAGGAAGGGCGGCGCGCGGTCCAGCCGATTGAGTCGAGGCAATCCACTTTTCAAAGACCATGCCGACAATTATCGTGTTCATTTAGGCTTAGGAATGGCCAGAATTGAAAGACTATCTAAAAAGCGCGGCGAGGTCATTGCTCATGCTTTGCGATTTAAGGGAGGTAAGGCAAAGCGAAAGCCTCCTGCACCATTCATTGCTGGCTAACGCGCCCGATATAGCAGCTACCACGACATAGTAGTTCCAAAGCGAGCGGCGCTCACTCACCGGGGCAACGCCATGTTTCCCCGCATCTCTACAGAGCACAGTCACCGTCACGTGATTTCAAAATCCCTCTCCTAGGTACTGCAGCTAACTTTAACCGCGGCTAGCGCTTCGAGCAAACGGGCTTAGGCATAGCCTCTTTTATACTGATAATGCCTGCCCAAGGTTGGCTTCACCATGCTTCGTCGTCGTCGCGCCTGCTTCGCATGTTTGCTGCTAGAGGCGCCAAAACCCCATACAAAAATGCAGACGACTCTTCTTCGCTGCCCGTTGCTAGTCCACTGTGATGCCGTTTGTGAATTGAATTCATTCGTAACCCATGCTACATACCAGGCGCAGGGCACCGTCAGAATAGATTTGATATATAAATAAGTCTTATGCCTTTCTTTTAGCTTTCACGTCTTGGTTTTGTTTGTATGCTGAAATGTTACCAGACCTCTGGTGCTTGTCATATCGACAACAGAAATAGTCAATGCCAATTAAAAAGGAGACAGACAGGCTGACGGACTTTCACGACGTTGAAGCAGCGACCACTTTAGAGTTTTTATTGCTACTGGAGCACAGCCGCAAAACATACGGCCCGCGGACTACATGCGGCAGTCATGTGGTTTTTCTCAGGACCGCGAACGCGTCCCCGCTGACCGAAAGCCTGCGCACCCGTCGGCAACACACTGACCGGGGGTCTTGATATACAATTCAATTTGTTTTTTTAAGTGCACAGCCTCTTGATGGTTTTGACCGGTCTCTTGTGGTCCGCACTGTTTTTCACGTATGCAGTTCTAGAGTTTTTTAACGGCTTCGTAGATTGTGGCTAGTTGGTGAAGATCTTCAAAGAGTCATGCTTGTCAGTCACGGATGCCGAGTAGTTTGTGAAAATTGGCCTGAAATATCTAGTACACAGAAGTTGCAGAAAATCTTTGTGATGGTTGACATCTTTCTCTACCTTTGCGTATTTCAGAGCGCCATGGTGTATAAAGCCTGGTTCAGACAGTTGCGTTTGACTGCGTTTGACTCCGTTGCGGCTACGAGAAACCAGGGGTGCTATTCTGGTCACAAACGGTCACGTTCGTGTTTCTCGAAAACTCCTCCCCCCTACGAACCGCGCGCTCCTATTGGCCACAGCCCGCGTGATAATTCCACGCGGTTCCCATGGGAACGTTCGCGAAACACGAAAGCAACCGTTTGCCGTAACTGTCGCTCTTCGAGTTCGGACCGTGACGACAAAGTGACGTATGACCACGTCCGACCTACGTAGCACATAGCGGAAGTCGCGTCACTAGATTAACTGCGGTATTACTCGAGACACCCTACTCTCTTGAAACTAAACATTTGAGAGAAATCTCTCTGGTTGGGGAATACAATAATTAAAATATGGCAACCAACCAATTCCTAAACATGTAGGGGCCCTACGTTTCGAACCGACTCGGTTCTTCGTCAGGGGCGACTGTGGCCGTTGAGGAGCGACGTTTTTCGATCTTCTTTTTCTTTTCTCAGGGATGTGGCGCATTTCTCGATCTTCTTCTTT